TTGATAAGCTGGAGTGCCTGAGCAGTATCTGACAAAGCCCATTGAGAGACCACAAGGGAACATCAACTGACAAAATAAAGACAGGGAAAACAACTCCTCTACTACTCATGAGCGTACATGTACAAGCGATGAAAAGGTACTGCAGGCAAAATTAAGACTTCCTGATGTCCATGCAATACTTGCAACTCAAAAAATTCTTCACAGAGAAATAATTCAATAGGGGCATTTAGTCAAGAGCAAAGACTTATTTCTGAAAAATTAACAGTGTATAAAGCTAAATAGCTATGTTAGTTAATAAATACATCTCAGGCAAGTACAAAAAATGGATCTGTAAATCAGAGAAATTCCATTTTAATACAATCAGGTTTTAAGACTCAAACTCTTCCTACATTTTTGCCTGTATTTTTCAAATTCCAATAAGGGGTAGGGTACAGGACCACAGTTCTGTCTTCCTACTCAAAATGTTAAGATTATTCAAAGAATGCCAACTTCTGATTAGCCCTTTCTCCATAACATAACATCCCAGTGCCAGTGTTGAGGACTTCAATTTCACTGTTGAAGGCTTTCAGCAAATCCAGAATGAAAAAAAATGGAGCATCCAAGCTTTAGAGAGTTTCCAAGTTGAGTAAAAAACAGGAGACAAGAGATGCAACCCATTCCTCAACAGTTCTCATTAGGATTTCACCAAAGTTTTAGACCCCTCACTACTGACACATTGAAATTTCTTTAGACATTAAGACAAAGACAGACCTTGCTGATGAACTGAGCAAAAAGCACAAAAATGTTTTTTGAGAGACTTCACAATTGAACAATGGACCCTTCTGTCCTTGCCTAACCAGACAGGAGAGCCACTTTCTCTCAGGGAATGATATAAAGTAAGGTGGGAATAAGTAAAGGTACTTTATTTTAGGTGCAAGTCAAAGCAGGGCGCTCAAAAAGAAATGTTATAATGGGATGTAGTGGGGGGACAAAATGAAGATCATTTTAATTATACTTTCTCTAGGTTGGTAAGTGCACCTACAGATTTGTAGGCTAGAGGGTTGCAGTTTCTTCTTACCTCTAAGGTTCTAGAGTGTTTTCAGATGAGAATATATAATTCTCTGCTCACATGTGTAATGGTAGTATAATAATGAATTAGTACTATGTAAAACAGATAGAAAAAGTCTAAAGACTCTTGAGCCACTACAATGCTTCTCAAAGCCCTTTTAAAAAGGAGAGGAAATTTTTTCACTCTTTTATAGATTGGAAAGCAAAACGAAAGAGAATGAAGCAAGCTGTCCAACAAGACTCAAGAAACTAGAAATCAAAAAACCATATCTTATGTCTAGAATCTCATTTTAAAGACCACCCAATCTTCAACCAGTTATACCAAATATCACTGAGATGTAGATGTCAGACAGACAGCACTGGAAAACATCAAGCCCTCCCAACCAAACCTTCCTGTTTCAATCAAGATTTAGAGACTCCAGATTGAAAATCAATGAAGGAAAATTAATTCAGAAATTCATGATATAGAAGAATTCAAACTTCATCCTTTACACATGTGTGAAGGCCAGGAGGTTGCTGTACTGAGCTTTTTAAATGATCTGCTGTATTGTGGAGACAAAACCAAAAAAAATTTAAAAAGTAAAAAAAAAAAAAAAAAAAGAAAAAAAAAGAAGGAAAAAAAAGATATATCTCCAAAAAAAGCACAACAAAGCAAAAATAAGAACCTCATAACATATTGTGATTTTTTTTTCCCCCTGGGACATTAATAACAAAAGTAGGGATGACTAAGAATGCAGGTGTCCCTTTTTTTTTGTGAGAAGTCTCTTCAGGTAAGTGGTTTTTGCTTACTGAGCTAGAGCAAAGAATAGGCACCTCAAAGATCCAGGGTATAAGACAAAAAGCACCACTGGATCATTGAGGTTAGCCTAATGTACTGCCAAGCATAACACTCACAACAGTTTCTCTTGAACTGAAACATGTGCATCTATTTCAGAAAAACACTTAATCCAAAAAATATAACAAGATTGAGATCTACCACTTTCCTTAATGGTTTGTCCTATATTCTCACTTCTAAAAACACCTGCCCGGCCTTGGTTTTCTCTTACTCTGGTACTCATTCTGCCTTTCTCTGCTACTTGGAAGAATCCTCTTATTCCCAGTCATCCCACAGAAATACACTGTCATTAAGTCATGTCTCTCTCTGGAAGAATTTTTCTCTATTCTAGTCTCTTTTCTCTCTTTTGATATATATTTAATACCTTTATAAATTAAAGACTCCAAAACTTGGCACAATATTTCCATAGCCTCACTGTTGCACAGCCAAAAACCACTTCCTTATTCTTAATTTTTAGTGGGCTTTTTACACTCAAAGTTCATAGTACAAGCCTGCTGAGTTGTCTATTCTTTCCTCTGGAACATTCTAAGCATCACTTATTTCAGCTGTAGGGGGCCTCTATGTATGTATGGCTGGCATTGCTTCCTCTGGCTGTGTAATACTTCTCGGTAATGACAATTTTCTTTGAATGGCCTCTGTTTGCCAGGCTAGACTGTAATTCGATGGCACTATCTGATTACTGTCTCCTCCTTGTTTCCTACTTTTTCAATCTTTGCATCATTTTCAAATTTTAACATCCAAGAATTCATGCTGCTTCCCAAATAATTTGTGAAAATATTGAAATACGTTTTCCATGCCCAGTTCTAAATCCTAGAAGACTTTGGAGAGAGTCTATTTACAAGAGGATGCAGTGACAGGACAAGGGAGTGGCTTCAAACTGAAAGAGGGTAGGTTTAGATTAGCTATTAGAAAAAAATCTTCACTGTGAGGGGGGTGAGGAATTAGCACAGGTTGTCCAGAGAACTTGTGGCTGCCCCATCACCGAAAGAGTTCAAGGCCAGGTTGGATGGAGCTCTGAGCTACCTGGTCTAGTGAAAGGTGTCCCTGCCCATGGCAGGGGGTTTGGAAGTAGATGATCTTTAAGGTCCCTTCCAACCCAGGGCATTCTATGATTCTATTCTATGATTCTGTGAGCCCTGAAAATTTTTATGCAAGGATCATTTCTCATTGAACAGTACTTTGAGATGTCAGTCCTTAAGGAATATTATTTTGATAAAGTATACTGTTATTTATTTACAACAGATACAATATAAAATTACATAAATGCCTTACAAAAGCCTAAACAAAACCTAGGACCATTCAACAAGCAAATTCACATGCTGGAATTAAGTTTATCTAACACAATTGCTTTTCTTTAAAACTATGCTGACCATCATTAATTTATTCTCATGCTTACATTTTTACCTAAATCCTCATTAGTCTTTCCAATATTTTTTCCAGGGCTGCAATATAACTAACCTGCTCTACAGCATTATTTAGGAAAGAAAAGAAAGTGAAAATAATAGCATGACACTCACACTCCATATCTCTAGAATTTAAAAAATTCTCCAACAGATCTTTTCAGCATCCTTTTTTAAAGCCCTTAGGTGAAAGTTACCAAGTAATGAGCCTTCTGCTTTACTTATTTTATCACTGGCAGATGTTGTTTAACATGCTTTGAAAGATTCAGTGCTGTTTGTACAGTAGGGACACTGGATCTCCTACCACCATATGGGCTTGTTAAGGAGCAAACAGCATTTCCCTCCTACTGTGTGCCACTCAGTATTGAAGAGGTATCAGAGTTTTTGTTCATCTTTGCATGAATAAATGACACAATTAATTAAACAGTGATTGACTGGCATCATTTCTTTTTCATTTTAGCATTACAAAAAAGCAGCACAAATTAGCTATTCACATCCAAAATAAACCAAGAAATAAGCTTCATTAAACTTTTCTCAGAATCTTGGAAGGCAGAAATTGAGTGTCCAGACACATACTATATGAGTTCTTATCCATTACGCTTGCCACTGAATTCATCCTGGATTGCTACCTTAATCACTATGTATTTTTGGCCCTTACATTAAGGATAATTAAGACATCATAAGCCATTATAAATTAATGTCCAGCTGGCAGAGAGCTGTGCAAGATCACTTAGAATCCTCATCTGTCCTGTTTATCTCAGCATCTTGTTAACTCTGGATAACAAAGGATAGCAATTTGTACATCAACAATATATCACTTCAGACTACTTTTACCAGAAATATCCCATTAGTGTGCATTATCCTCATATCTAAAACTGCATTCTTTTCCTCTTGAGATTGCAAAGGACCCAGCTGGCAAACAGGCAGAATATCAAGTTTCTCACATATCTATTATCATAACGGCAGGAGGTCATACACTGAAAACTGAGAACACAAATGCAACATAAACTAAACTGAATATTTTGATAACAGAAATTTACAGAGGTTACTATTCTAAAGGGTTTTTTTGTACTACTGTTTCAATGGCTACTCCTCTATTGGAAAAGCCCTTTCATTAAAAAAGCAAACAAACAAACAAAAAACCAAAACAAACCACAAAAACCCACACCAAAACCAACTTCCACAAGGCTTTTGTCCGTCAGGCTTTTCAGGTCCATAAATATACTTAGTCTTCCTGTCCTATATCCTAGTCTGGTCCTGCCTATTACACCACAGAGACCGATTGCATCTCTGCTGGACCAACAGGCAATAAAAAGAAATTTCAAAAAGATAAAGTGAAATTTTCCTTATTGCATGAGATCTCCAAGTCTAGACACTTAGATCTAAGTTATTTGACCATAAAAAATGTCTAGACAATGGAGAGAGCCAATCATTTTTAGGGCATGATCCATCTCCATCCAAAAGAGACATCCAAATCAGGTTAAAAGAATTGCGCTCAGGACAAGTCTCTCTGTTGGCCACCAGCTGAGGCTTCTTATATACCACAGTATCTTGGCAATTAGTGAAGCATTTAGGCAAATATTTTTTTTAACTTGAAATGGGTGCTTTTGGGTCTAGGGAAGCATTGGTAGAGAAAAATTGGCAAAATTATGAAGCAGCAATTCAGAAACTATTTGCTTTCCTCACTTATTTCTCACAGCCAAATTCACTACTCTCACCTGTGTATTAGTCCATTCCATTTCAGGAAAAGGTCCCAGCTGAAGGCCTCTACCTGTGGGATTTTCTTCCTCTTGGCCTTTCTGGAAGTACATAGAGACATCTACTCAGGACATGTTCCAAACTCAGATTTTTCATTGTCTTTGCATACGGTGCTCAGTTGTGTGAGTTTGCTTCCCAGGCTGTTTTTGGGGGAGGGGGCTCACTCATGCCCTTGAAGCTGTAAATTGGTGTTAACACACGCTGAATTGCCCAGAGGCTTTATAACAAAAATAAATTGGTACTACATTATATCGTATTAAAAATGGGAGGGCATATTACTGATTATAAATATATATGGAAGAGCTATTTATCCTTGAAGGCAGAAAAAGTATGTTATGTATTCTTTACAAGAATTAACACTGTACTACTGTATTTAGGTTTATTTTTAGTATGTAGCATCTACCAATCTCATGTAATTATTAGCAAATCAAGAAAGAAGGCTATAAGGAATAAATAAACATTCTCTTGACAGCCCACCTCTTTCTAGCTAAAATTAGAAACAACCCTGTTGCTTCTAAATTTTAAAACCCACTCTAATTATCACTACAAATTTATGAAGTTCTAACAGTAGGAGGGTATACATTTGCTTTTAATGAACATTAGGCTTCCATTTTTTGTGAAACCGAAAATCTGCAATGAATTCAGTCTCCCACATAGACATGAGTCAATGCCATTGTAGAAAACACAGGAGTTCTTAACAAACAACAATATCGAAAAGCCATGTCAGTAAGGGGAGACCTGTTGCCAGGATCTGTTTTTATTGACAGCAAAACTACCATGTCTGTAGCTATGCATCCAATAGCATTTTTTTACACAATGTTTAATACCTAAGGGACTGAAAAGCACTTTTACAAAGGCCATATTCATTATGATGTTTAGGTAGCTAATCCTCACCTTTTACTAAGTTACTTTAGTGACTTTTTGATTCTATTTTAATGCAAATTAAAAAAAAAAAAAAGGAGAAATCATAGAATAGCTTGGGCATGAAAGGGCCATAATGATCATCTACTTCCAACCCCCTCTGCCATTGGCAGGGACATCATCTATTAGACCAGGCTCCTCGAAGCCCCATACAACCTGACCTTGAACACTTTCAGGGATGGGTCATCCACAGCTTCCCTGGGCAACTTGGGTGCCTCACCACCCTCACCACCCTCGTAGTCAAGAATTTCTTCCTAATATTTAGTCTAAACCTGCTCTCTGGTGGTTTGAACCCATTCCCCCTTGTTCCATTACTACATGCCCTTGTAAAATGTACCTTCCTGTAGACACCCTTTAGGTATAAAATCGCTTTTTTTTATGTATAAAAAGTAACAGTTTTTCACTCTCAGCTACAAGATTAAGTCTTTTTTAATAGCTAGCATAAAAATCAGCAAGCATGAAACCATTGGGCTAACAAGTCATTCAAGGAAGTCTTGAAACACTGTCGGTATAGAGGAAGGCTAATAATAGTCAAAAAGCTCAGGGTGTAGGACTTTTTAATGTTTACTATAGTCTAAGGAAAAGACTGCTCTGCTTAAAAGGAAATAATGCTGTCATACAACAATATTCTTAAGAACCGAGGCTTATATTGATGCTGTCAGTCTTCAGGCATTTAGATGTGTCAGCTAGGAGCAGAGTCCGCTGAGACACAGGAAACTCCCGAGAAGACTTAAATGCACTGAGTCACTCTTCAGAGGATGCATTCCCACCTCAGTGAAGTGAGATTAATTGAGGTCTGAATATTCAATTGAGCTTATACAGACAGGTTTTTTACATGAAAAATGCCTAGAGTACTTTCTTTTACAGTGTAATGGGTGGCTGCGGATTCCCTAATATAAGCACCAAGCCAACTGGGAAGCATTTTATGGACAAGTCTGCTGGAGCTGATGTACTTTGTCCACAGTAAGTTTCTGTGCATATGTAGTTTATTTTGAATACTTTGTTTTGGAGACTTTTGAAAAGAAATGTGTAGTTCCATAAGTACAGACAGAAGAAATGCACACAGAGCAGTAAGCATTTACCTGACAGAGGAAATCCCAGATGCAAAAATACAGAGTAAGGAACACCTCTGCGGAGATCATTAACTAAGGAGGAGCCAGGAGTGAGGTTCTCTAGTAAAATGGCCTTCCCTCAAAATATGAATGATTGCTGTGTATAAGGGTTATAACTATTGTGCTGTAATCACTGATAAAAGGACACCAGCAGAACTGTATAATTTTGGGGCACTATGTTTTCAGATAGGCACTGAAAAAGCCAAAAGGAATCCGCAAGAGGAGACTCATAACCTAAGAAAGACTGAAAACAGGATATTACATAGGGATAGTGATCAGTTATCTCCACTGAGAGAAATAACAGAGAAATCACTCTAAATTTGCTGCTGTGAAAAAAATCCTTTAACTACTAGGGTGCTAAAACATTGAAAGTTTCCAGTCCTTTCCATGTCTTACATTCCGTGACTATCGCTCTCATCCATGAGAGGTTTATTACCCAGTAATTTTAGCAATTTTAATTTGGAACCAGATGATTAACAGCCAGCTAACAGCAAAAGGCATATTCCTCTCTGATAGCTTAAAATAAAATAAATACATACTTGCTTCCAAAGTAAGATTTTAGAAATGACACTAGTGGATGTAGTGGATGTAGAAATGTAATCCCATTTGTAAAAATAGTCTCTTGAATGAACTCAAATGCAAGTGAAGTAGCATTTAAACCAGCATTCTTAAGCATCAAACTGTATACTACAAATGTGGCAACCTTAAAGGCGAGATTGAGTTTCCAAAATAGAGTTGTCTCATGTCATTAGATGCATTAAGGTATCATTTTGTCTCCAGCTGATTCTTCAGAACAGTACGGGTTTCCTTCTGGCATTTCTGACAGCCATATGCATATCTCAGATCTTATAGGACATCTAAAATAGCACTATATGCCTATCTTAGACAACTGAATCTCACCCCCAAAAGTCCTTTTTACTTTAAGGAGATATTCTATTTTCTAGGAGACATTGTCATTTATAGTAGTTATTATTAAATACAAATATATAGTTTAAATATAAAAATTGGGTTCATTGCATGAACATTCTAAATCTCCTGCTCTTTAACTAAAGAAAAAAAAAAGTCAAGCTACCTTAAATGTTACGAACTACCATCAATCTAAATATCCAAAATTCCAAATCCAGTAAAAGTTTTACACAAGACTTAGAGCCAAACAAGTTTCGGTGTCGAAGTACTCCACTTTCACAAGGGTTTAAATACACCTATCATCTGGAAAGCCTTGCTAATCTGTAGATTAAGGAAGGATCGGTTTATTGCCATGGAAAAAAAATAGCACCTATGACATACTGGGAAGTCACATGGCCCAACAATAATTACCTTCATACAAGAATATAATGCAGTATCATAAAACCAAAAGCCACACCAATAAAACTGAGGAAAATAAAGTTCTCTGTTTAAAAAAAGTCTTCAAAAGAAGATATCATGAAAATCAAAGTTCCTGATAATCTTATGTAGAAGGCATTGAAGTACTGCTATGCAAAGTAATAGTAATAAAACATGAACATAGGGAGAAAATGTGTAAAGAAAATTATTATAGTATTTACAGAGAAAGATATGAAAAATTTTTGCAATTACAGGAACTTCAATCTACTGAACAGTATCTGTGATCACAGTGCTAAGTTCAAGTCTGTTCCTTATGCTAGTGATGTAATTACTATAGATGAATTCTGCAGAATCTACACCTATGCAATTAATAGTCTCTTAAATCAGCAATTAGCATGAGAGGATGAACTTTTGTGTTGGACAATTGCTTTTAAACTAAAAATTTCATTTATGTCAGACAATGAGAGAAATGCAAGTTTCAGTGAAAAGCTCAAAAATATACAGGAGGCTACAATTTCCTTTTAAAATTTGAGTAATTCTTCTTATCAATTTACAACAGAATAATAAACAGCTGATAGCACATTGGTGACAAGTCCAAAAATACTTTTAACACAGGCTTGTGAATGAAATGAAAATTCAGGAGCAGCAGATGGCTTTAACTGCTGTTAAATGTGGAGTGTTTTCCAAGAACATGTTGTATGTAATGATAAGTAGCCAGAGACAGAAAGTTTCCCCAGTAGTTTTAATCCTGAGCATACAAGCTAAGTGAGGGCTTTCAAGCTTTGGCTCACTGCAACATCCTTATATTTTACCCTTGTCTACAGTAGCAAAAATGCTTGTTATTAACATGTGCCAGCAATGGATGCAATTACAGCAGCAATGAGCACAGTTTCACAAGCAGGCAGGTTTAACATGGGCTTTCTGAAACAAGGATAGTTCTTGGCTGTGCTTGCAGGTTAATCACATTCAGCACCAGCATATCCATTGTCAGCAGTGGATAATTATGCCAGTGTACCCAATGCCTCAGTTTGTGAATATGTTTTACATAATAAACATGTTAGGAATTGCCTCCCTTTCTAATTCTTGATCTGGATGTAGGAACTGGGATGATGTACTGCATCTAGGGTTTCTGCAGTCATGATCTGACAGCCTCCATGTCTTGTGGCCTCTTGGATTTAAGCAAAAGTGAAGTCTCAAAGGCCCAGGAAAACAGGCAGCAATTTTTTTGTTTGTAACCTAAAACAGTTCTGACTTTGTCTCCTAATCCATCAGAAATTGGCTTTATTATGACTGAGTTAAAGCTTCTAGACTTGCTACCATGTATTATTATACTTGACTAACAGATATTTGTGACATGGAATGAAACCGGAACTTTTAAACTCACAATGATGCACTGAGGCACAGACAGAGAAGGGTTCAAAAGAAAGAGTGCAACTGGCAGAGAAAATAAATCTACATTGGGATTAAACACAGAAAAAAATCACGGCTGCTGTCTTCTGTTAATCTGGTTGCTTCTGTAACAACAAAGCGTTGGTGAGGAACTGTGGAAAAGGGCATCACCGGATCCAAGGAAGTCTCTGGAGTTCACACCTACACTATGCGTCTCCTTGCTTAGATGCATCAAGGATGATTCTGGTTAGCTACTCTGTAATCCCAGTATCTGCTTAATACTGTCTTGGATGAGC